TGCATCTGGTCTGGCCGAAAGGGCAAAGAATCTAGCTGGAGCGCCGACTAGCTGGCCTCCACCAGACTGAGCAGTAGCTGGCTGACCTCTCCCTATCTGGCCTCCACCTCTAGGACGACCTCTACCACTCTGTCCCCCTCCTCTAGGCGGCTGGGCAACCGGTGCTAAAATCATAGGCTACTAACCCTACTGTACTACCTTGCCCCGAAGCCTGGGGCATGTCCTCTTCATATGACCTGGATCTCTACACTTGTAGCAACCTCTCAACAACACAACCTGCTGTCCGGAAGCCTGACCCTAATGTCCTGAATACCCACCGGAGGAACTCGGAATGGCTGGAGGACTGTATGAACTCTCTGGCATAGCACTGGAATAGGAACCAGAAGAACTCTGAGGACATGAATGTTCACTAGAAGAACCCTGAATAGCTGGCGGATGGTAGGAACTCTCTGGGATATCGTTGAAATAGGGGCGCGCTGGAGCACCTCGAGTAGGTGGTGGTGCTGAATATGGGGGCCTACTAGGCTGGCCCCTCCCAAACTGACCTATGCCCCTAGCCCGGGCACCTCTGAACTCTCCGGAGAATCGGGCCCTCTTGTCCTACTGCGCCTGCTCTCTACCTCTCAGACGATAACCCTCAATCCTCCGAGCAATCTCCACCACTAGCTGATATATAGTCCCCATCTCCACCTCTCGGGCCATGTTGGCCAGAATGCAACCCTGCAACAAACCTCCGCACCTTCTTTGCATCAGTAGGAAGTATCATCAGTGTATGGCGGTATAACTCAGAAAACCTCACCTCATAGTCGATCACGGACATCTGACCCTGCTCCAGCTGATCAAACTGGTACTGTAGCTCTTCCCTCTTAGAGGGTGGGATTACCTGTCGAGGAATAACTGTGTGAACTGACCCCAAGTGATAGGAGGAAAACCTGCTGGTCTACCAAGAACATACGACTACCACCACCTACGGACCCTGCCCTTCAGCTGGAAAGTAGTAAAGTTGATCCCATGCGACTCCTATATCCTTATGTTGTGCAGTCTATCCCTACACCTATCAATGAAGTCCTGGGAATCCTCATGACGCTCACCCCCGAAGACAGGAGGGTGAAGTCTAGTCCATCTATCTAACAACTTCTGTGGGCTACCATCCGCAGCTGGTTTGGGATCGGGCACCACTGCAGCAACTAGCTGAGCCCCATACGTGGGTAGTGCACCCTGAGTCTGATACACTACAGCTGCATGTCCAGGAGCCTGAGCAGTAGGAGTCCGTGCTCCCCCTCCTGCCTGTGATGTAGCTGGATCCGCTGGAAATAACCCAGCCTGAGTCATGGTGTCCATGAACCGTAGCATACGGCCCATGACCTCCTGAAATCTCGGTGCTGTCATGAAGTACGTCGGGGTGGTGCTACTGGGATAGCTCTGGGACGCCCTCATCCCCTACCTCGGGCCGATGCCCTCCCCCGGCCTCTACCTCGGCTTCTAGCAACGGGGGGAGCAGCTCCTCCTAGGTCTGGAATAGCTGTTGTGCGCATCCTCACCATCTGTGAGAGAATAAAAGAGGGGAAATTTAGTGTACTAACCACTGCACGATAGGGAATGAAGAAAGAGTAGCTTCCTAACACCCTATAGCCTCTCAAAGATAAATACAGACGTCTCCGTACCAATCCGCAAGACTCTACTAGGTTTGCCCATGACTCGTGAGACCTATATGAACCTAGTGCTCTTATACCATGTCGTCACGACCCAATTTTACCTCAGGTCGTGATGGCGCCCAACACCGTTGTCAGGCAAGCCAACACAGAAATACTAATAAGTTCCAGTTTTACTTTTTACAAAATAGTTACCAGAATCTCTAAGTTTGAATTTAAAATAAGCAATAATTAACATCGTACCATAATAGTCATACAATCCCAACATAAAATAGTCTACTAGTGTATGTGCCAAGACCTGGTGTCACAAGTATGTGGGCATCTAGTAGAATATACAAAAGAATAAATCTATCCTACTGTCTGAAATATAATAGACAACCAAAAGTAAAGAAAGACTCCATCGGGCTGCTGAACGACGTAGGAAAGGAGCAGCTCACCGTGGAATCTCGGGTCGGATCAAGAGTATGCACCAGCCTGGTAACCAGATGTACCTGCCTAAGATCATGTACAATTAAGTACAGAAGTATAGTATGAGTACATAAACATTATGTACCTAGTAAGTATCATGTCTAATCTCGAAGAAGTAGAGACGAGAGGTCGACTTGACACTTACTAGGGTCAAATAATATGAGAAGGCGTTATACTAAGCATGGATAGCACAAATGAATAACAACTTATAGCAAGAAGTAACAGGTCCTTTCCTAGATAATATCACAGTTAGCCATTTATATTTCAGGGCATATAAACAAGTTCAATCCACAACAATATACCGAGCGAGAAGCATACTCAAGTAGTGTCGAGGTCGTACGACCCGATCCAACATAAAAGTAAAGTGTGCACTGTTGGAGGGTCGAACGGCGCGAACCATAGATGCATCTATTACCCCACTCATGAATCATACAAGTGACGCGGTCAAATGTAATTAAGAACAACAAACAGACAAACAAGAATATATCAGGGGAGCAATTACCCACAGAAATGTCAACTCCTCTTTAAAAGATCAAGAAAGTGATGTTTCTCGTATTAATTTCATTCACCACATTCAACATGGTTTAAGCAATCCAAATTAACCATAAAGTCACAAGAATATCACATACAACATGCTTTTGGGTCCTAGACTACCCGGACTTAAGCATAATAGTGGCTACACACGGACTCTCGTCACCTAATGCGTACATAGCCCCCACATTTAGTGGCAAATTATTCAATTATTATACATATGGGGACAATTCCCTCTTACAAGGTTAGATAGGAGACTCACCTCGCTCCAAAGCGTACTTCTAATATCAAGAACGTGCTCAAACCCTCAATTTGGAGCCGAACGATCCAAAACTAATTAAACGAGGTAGGAACTAGTCAATACAAGCTCAAGAGTTCGCATTATAATTACTAAAGTAATTTTCCAACCTTAATCATAAGTTTCCTAAAATTTGACCTCGAACCCATGTGTCCGGATTCCAAAATTTTTCGAAAAAAGTTGTTCTTTATAACCTAAGGATCAATAATATATGATTTCTATTTCTTTCCATAACAAATTTCGTAGTAAAATCTAAGTTTTATCAAAACCTTAGGTTTTGCTCTAATCCCATGATTTTTCACTAATTTTTATGTGTTAATCTACCCAAAACCCAAGTATTAAACTCACATTAAGTAGAAATAACTTACCTCACAATGCTATGTTGAAATCCCCTATTTGAAAGCTCCCAAATCGCCCAACTGTAGAGATAAAATGAAATAAATGGCCTAAGTCCCATTTTTAAAAGTTGTGTCCAGGCCTCTGATGTCGCATTTACGACATCAGGTTCGCAAATGCGAACTCGCAATTGCGACAAAAGCTTCGCAATTGCGAACTGACCCTCCTTCTGCTTTGATCGCAATTGCGATCCTGGGGTCGCAAATGCGACGACTGCCCACCGCCTGCCTTCATCGCAAATACGATGGTTTCCTCGCAAATGCGAGATCCACAATTGCGAACAATACCTCGCATTTGCGAGACCTGCAACCTTTCACAAAAACACCAGAAAACGGGGGTGTTTTTCACCCCAACCCATGCCCGAAACTCACACGAGCCCTCGGAGCTCCATTCCGAATACCCACACAAGTCCAACAACCTTGTACAAACTTGCTCGAGCGATCGAATCGCCGAAATAACATCTAAAACTATGAATTCAACTCCAAAACGCATGAAATCCTTAAGAACACTCAAATTCCTATTTTTACAACCGGACGTCCGAATCACGTCAAATCAGTCCCGTTTCTTACCAAATTTTACAGACAAGACTTAAATATTATATTGGACCTGTACCGGGATCTGGAACCAACATACGGGCCCGATACTATCATGATCAAACATTATTAAATTCTTTAAATCCTTGGAATTTCAGTTTAAACAATTTTTAACAAAAATTCATTACTCGGGCTAGGGACCTCGGAATTCGATTCCGGGCATACGCCCAGGTCCCATATTTTCCTACGGACCCTTCGGGACCGTCAAAATACCAGTCCTGGTTCGTTTACTAAAAATGTTGACCAAAGACAAACTTAGCCTTTTAAGAAATCTTAGGGAATCAAGTGTGCCTATTTCAACCCAAACTCTTCCAAATCCTGAACCAACCATCCCCGCAAGTCGTAAATTAGTTAAAGCAAGCGCGGGAAGTCTTATTTAGAGGAACGGAGTTCTAAAAAGCGAAACGACTAGTCGAGTCGTTACACAATTCAACTAAGGAAAAGAAATTTATAAGGTAAGTTTAGTTATTTTTTCAATTTCTAAATATTAGGATTTGCAACAAACAAAGAAAGAAATTCTAGTTGTTTTTAAAGTTCTTAATATTAGGAAATAATAATTAAATTACAATTCCGACGTGAAATCTATTTTTAAAGGATAAAAAGAAGAACAACATTTCGCTAAGGCCCTTCGTGCTTTTAATATAGTATAGATTAGGAGCTTTGTTATGTAGCATAATAGCCTTAATTTATAGGTGGAAATACTTTTTTTTTATTCATTCGACAATCAAATACAAATTATAAAGTGTTAATAAATTCTATCATGTAGCAATAAATTAATATTGTTCAAAAAAATTTTTATTTGATTTATCCGTTAAACCGCCTGATAACCTCCCGATAATTGTTAATTCAATACAAATCCGTCTGTTATCTTTTTGGATGGCTAGCGGATCACAATATTTATAATCCGATAACCGATAAGCCGAACCGTTAAGCATAATTATCTGCCCAATCCGCCCGATAAGCACCCCTAATTACGACCGTTTTCAAACTAAAATGAGTTAGAATGCACTAGCGAGAAAGTATGGAAGAATTCCCTATCATAAAGATTGAAATACATGAATGCCAAAAAATGATTTCAGCTTCTCCCTATTAATATGCTCCTTTTGTTCCCATTTCTTCTAAAAATGTTAGTACAATACAAACGGAAGCCAATAACTTCCAGAAAATTGAAAAGTGAAATTTCTATCCAAAACAGCCAAAAAATGTACCAAAAAAAGCTATATATGGAAGCCTGCCTGTTTGTTAGCATTAGGTAATAGTTATACCAGAAATCACCACAAGAACATGAACCCTCCACAAAATGATGAAAGCGATTCCGGTCCCTCACTATGATCTTGCGTCCTGTGATTTTTGATACAAGCTTGGTGACAGCATGGCAATCTGGACAAACACGGAGATTCTTGACAATCTTGATTGTAGTTCCTGGCTGAGTACTAATTAGCCCACAAGCAATGGCTAGCCTTTCACTATGAACAACAAGCGATTTCTGCTTCTCAACTTCCCCAAGATTATGCAAGACTACATCAGTCTGTGGCATGTAACCATGAGCCTCGAGCCACTTGTTCATCTCCTCCAGCATTCTGTAAATTTCTTTGCTTTTGAGATGCTTCATGTCACCGGCAAGGAACTCGTGCACTTTATTATTGACCTCAATGGAGCTACAACCAGGTTCCTTGTCTACCCCGCTACTCTTCATCAATGCCCTGACCTTTGCCACACCATCCCAATCAGCAGCAGCAGCATATATATTGGATAGCAGAACATAAGTTCCTGAAGTAGCAAGATCCTGTTGCACCAGGAACTCCATAATTTTCTCTGCGAGCCTTATGTTCCCCTGAATCCTACAAGCAGTCAGTAATGTTCCCCATAAAATAGGATCGCAATCAATCTTCATACTTTTGACAAATTCATAAGCTTCTTCTAACTGTCCAGCTCGTCCAAGAAGATTCACCATGCAACCATAGTGCTCAATCTTTGGCTCAATTCGATACTTACATTTTGCTTATCGAGAAATGTAAAGTACAATTTTCTCTTACTTTACATTCTTTCCTCTCCTTCGCAAACAAAGCATGGATCTGAAACCAAGCATGAAACTATTAAACAATTAACCAACACTCTCCCAGCTGGCTTCTGAAGCAAGTCCAAGAAGAGATAAATCGTTATTTACATGATTTTCTCATTAACAGATGGAACATAAAGAGAAAAGCCACTAGTTTGATGTACAAAATAGAGTTTAACCAATACACAGTGTGGCGCAAGTTGCTTGCACTTAAAAACATTTGAGGAATGAATTGAACTGAAAACGTTGGAGGGGCATTGTTCAGACTTCAGAAGAATCAGATATGACTAATAGGACAAATATATCAACCTACAGAACTCAAAATAACATTAACAGCCAAACATGAAATAAAAAGAAGAAGTACAGAATAAAGAAGCCTCTTCATATTCAAATCAAATTTACAGAGCTACCAGAATTGACAAAATCAGTAACCAACTTCAGTTCTCCTGGCTTCTGTCATCGGAAAGCACCGTCTCTTTCGAAAAATTGAACTTGCTAGTTGCACCAAAGATATCAGCAAGTTGCAACATAGTCCTTTGACAGGCAGCACTTGTTGGCAAGACAGCATCTGGAAGGCAAGGGATGCATTCAGGGAGAAATTCTATCTTGTTGAAGGTTGGAGCGTAGAGTGCCAGCGCCGCCCGACAGAATATGAATCTGCATTATCCGGAGTGTTTTTTCCATTCAATTGTTTCGTTATGGACTCAAAGTTATGTTTCCGTAAGCAACAGAAAAGTATATGCGTATAACTCCTTTGAGAGATAAAAATTAGAATACTAGCCTACCAGGTTTACTCAACGTAACCCCCATATGTACCTAGCAAGACTGCGAATTATATGTAGGGAATATGACTACCTCTGTATTTTGTATCTGCTATATGCTTTATACCTTTTTACTATCTACACACAAATGCCTATCCGCGAACAGTTTTGTTTCCTCCCTTCTACTGCAAACTTCAGCTTTCTATGCAACTAGCCTTCCTACCCACAGAAATATCTGGTGTTATTTCTGACAGTAACACCAGATTTTTCTACGTTCCCACACGACACCTCAAATGACCATGTCCTTGTCACATTTTTGAGATACAACAGTAAACACTTAATCAAAATAAAAAAGAGTTCACATCTAACCCCAACACTCACCCCCAAAAAACCGAAAGAAATACAAGTTCAAATCAACTTAACTGATGCTCTGAACCAACATTTTTGGAACATAAAATTTGATGTACGAGTGATTCATCAGTTTCTCCAAGTGGAGTAATAGATTTTGCCCTTATACATGTTCCGATGTTAAATCAACTACTGCCAACAAGTAGCCTATGGATGCACACAGGGTACTTCAACGGAGATCATCTTTAATCTACTGTTCTTACATTAAAATCAAGATTTGAAACTGATTTGGAACGTTTATTGGACTGTGATAGCCATCTATGGATTTCTAATCTGAAAACATATTCAAGCTCCCATATTCAAGCAGTCGAGGGTTACTTCAAACTTGATTAATCACATGAATACTGAAGAAAATGTTGGGGAAGAGTAGCAACCGACCTTAAAATGAGCCTCCGTAAAAATGGATCTCCAAGAGTTTGAGACCAAACAGGATTAAGATTGTCTGATGCTGCCAGTAACAAACCCTTCTCATCTATATATATATATATATATATATATATATAAAGATAAAATAAAAAAGTGACTTAGACAACTCTCTGGCCAAGATCCTATTTATCCTTTTTTTGACTTTTCCCTTTTATTCTTTTCATTTTTTGTTAAAATTATTTAGTAATTGGAAATTGATCATTCTCTATCCTATTTATTACATCTCATTATAGTATTTATTTCAGTTACAAAAGACACCAATTAACGTCCAAATTTTCCAGTTTATTGGGTTTCTCACTATCATTGTTAAATAAGCAAATACCATGTTTTAATTGCAAAAAAAAAACAAAAGTTGCACCTTTTAATCCATTTAATTAGCCTCTCTTTATTCCTAATCGTTTCTCTCACCTGCAATCATGTTGAGTTATTTTTGTGTCTTAGTTGTTTCATATAATTTTTTTTTTATATAAAAATTATGAGACTAATCATTTAGTCATACTTTAATTCTTCATGCAACCACAAAGTGCAGGCAAATTTTTATGTAGAACATTTAAACAAGAAAGTTAGGTAAGAGGTCTTGCGTTAGACATTCTAAATGTATTCTGACATTATAAAACTATAATTATCTCATTCTATTTTTGTGTCTTTGTTTTCTATATATTTTTTTCTTATACATATCTTTGTAATTTGTTTTTGCATATATGTCTTATATATAAATAAAAATTTATGACTATTATCACGAGTAAATTTATTAGGCAAAATTAGTTTATGAATGTATTGAAGGAAAAAAGAAGATGACCTTGGCCAAGAAACTCATTTATCTTTTTTCTCTCTTTTTTTTGGGCTTTGCTTCCTCATTTTTTATATATCTTATTTTTAATTAATAGTCCAAAATTAATTCTTTAAATACAAAGTCAACTTTTTCCTCCTATGATTGTGTCTTTATTAAACATCTTAATATGCATTTATGCTCTTTCAAACTTCCCCTTCCCTATATTCCATTACTAAATTTTGTTGATTATGTCCATAACTCTCAAATATTATTTAATGTGTTAATTTATGGCACCATTTTGTATTCTCTCATATATGCCTATATAAATTCACTAGCTAGATCAAGAAACATAAATCAAAATTTGGTGAGAAAACTATAGTCTATTCAAGAATTAATAGAGTTTCTTTTAGCGGAAGCTTGTTTTGATGCTATGTCCAAGGAAGGTATGTGGCGCTAAAGCGGATCTTGATGAATGCATTAATATATTCAAAGTTCTCAATTCAGGTAAATCTTATGAATATTACTATTTTTTTAAAATAAAAAAAATCTTTCTGAAATTTTGAAGATCATGCAAGAAGTTTTATTGAAATGCCATGATAGCAAGATTAAGATGAGCTTTATGAATTTGAATTGCAGAATATTGACCAAAATTTCGGCACTCATCTTCAAATTTCTTTGACATAAGCAAGACTCATGTTGAGGATAAATTTTTTCAGTACCTACTTCGAGTATGCCATACTACACAGGGAGAGATATTAAGATTCATCGGCAGTTAAAATAGTTTGCTACCTAAATATTTGCGGATTGTCAGATCCTTTTTTTTTATTTATATATGTATAATATTTCTAAAATTAATGCACAAATACAATTTTGTTACTATGTACTTTTGTATTTAAAGTGCATATTGTTGTAATGTTTGCTGACGGTGGTTTTTTTTTTTTTATGTATATTTTTAAAGTTGATACACAAACACAATTTTGTTGTACTTTTGTATGAAAGTATAAATCGTTGTAATTTTAATACAACTATATTTTATTTCTATTCATATAACGAATGTTGTTAAAGTGAAATTAGTAATATAAAAAGTGTTGGAGCACGAGGGAAAAATATTTATGTTTGTGATTTAATCAATTTTTGCAATTAATTGCTTTATGTATATGCATGAAAATTTTATTCTCTTATCTCAAATATATTTACGAAGAAGATTAAGCATTTCATAATTTCATGTATTTGACAGCGCAAAGCGCGGATAAGTTGACTAATTTAATGATGAAGAAAGAAGTTTCTCAGCCTTACCATACATATCCTGAAAGCAAGAATACATACTTGAGAAAATCAAGCATGTATGAAAGAACAGATAAGATGAAGTTGAAGTTTAAGCTAACACACCACGTCAATGTCGGAAGCTGTGAAACCAAGCATCAAAATAAAAGCTTGTAAAGGAACTGTAATAAAGCCGGTGAATGAGCTTCCACTTGGCTGACGAGAATCCATAGCAGATATAGGCAGTGAAATTGTGGGAGAGAGTAGCATTGTCAACTGGTTCTCCCTTCTCTGACCCACTTAAAGCCTATTCACATTCATGCAAAAATAATATTATTCGTGCGACCTCAACAAAAGAAATATTATTCATGCGACTGGAATGAATAAAAGCAAAAGGCTCATTCCCTAAATAATTTAACCAATGATCAACATTAAACTAAAAACCAGTATTCTTAGACATTTACGTTAACTTCCAGGATTTCCCACATATGTTTTCTGTTGCATCTTAATTACTTCAGACTTATCTACTCGAAAGCATACAGGGATATCAAGAAACAATGAGATAGCTCCCACTAAGACAACAGAATGAGCTGATGAAGTATGTTTTGCAAAAGAAAGCATGCTGGAAAAAAGAAAAGTGCAACCTAAATATTGTCCTAGCTTGAAATGACACTAGGAGAAACTCTAATATACTATCAGAGATCAAGACTGATACTATATAACATCATCAAAATTTGTAGTCTATTTCACACATAGATAGGGCTTCTAGAACACCATTCAGCTGACGATTTTGGTTGAGCAAAATGTATTAACAACAAAACAATTGACCCCTGGAAATTAAGTTAAAAAATACGATAACTACGAAGATTAAGGTATCATAGTTTAAACTCCATGATGTTGAGGGGCACAAAGATAATAGCATAAATCAAGAAACAAAAACTTAAGGAAACTTACCCAGTAGCAAATGCAGAATAATACATCATAGTCACTCCTGGATTATATCATATTTCGAAAAGCCTATGTAGCCCGGTTATCTGAATACAAGCTGCAGTAGATATTCCAGTGTAATGATTCTCTTGCAACCAAAGAAAGTTTCAAAATATTCTCTCACCAGTCTGCTTATGTCTGCCAAACCACTACTAATAATCCACCTAATACTTTCTTTTAGTGACCGAAATCCGCTGTTTCAACTTCAAAATTCAGGGATAATGGACTCTTACCCTTCTCTACTTAAACAATCTTGTTCACTTGCAACAACCAGGTTTTGAAATCGTGAAGTGTGCTGACCATACATCCTGCACTATACTACCTTTGCCATTGTACCAAATCCCTGGGAACCCTATGTAGCACATTTAACAATTGTCAATCATGGTTGTCTTAAATTCCATATTGGAAGTATGCACCCAAATGGAGCCCCTCCTCTATTTTATGCAGGGGAGCTGCGTATCTGCAAACCAAACACCACCTAACTACCTCAAGGCACCCAAAATCATACATTAAGTTTTATTGTAACACCAAACAAGCTATTGTGATTGTCACGACCCTAAATCTGGACCCGATCATGATGACGCCTCTCGTGAAGACAAGGCCAGCCGATGTCACACCTCCTTTTTCCGCACCCGCGGGGGCGCAGGGGGAGTTTTTTCCAATTAAAGGACA